AACTCCCCGAACACCAAACTGTCTTTGTGAGTTGAGTAGATTGTCAAGTGAGAAATGCATTATCTTAAATGGGAAAACCAACTTACCCTATGGCATCTGGTGACCCAGTCAGAGAAACAGTTCTGTCTGGAAGACCAGCACTGTCTGTGAATGAATATGAAAATATTTATCAAGCTAAGAGAAGCTGAAAAAAAAAAAACCCTAATTTGTCAATTTAGTAAATCTGGTGTCTGCACATATCTCACCGTGCGCAATCTGGACCTTGCAGCCAGAATCCTGCTGTATTTTGTTAATCTGTTCACCTCCTCGGCCTATGACTTTAAGAACAGCAAATATTTTAGTTTGAACACGTGTGACACAGCCATCATGTCCATGGTTAAGGAAAATGATGTGCGTGTACTTACTGAGACCGACCATGCCATCAGGCACTCTGAACTCTTCCGTCATTGTTGAGGGTCTGGCACTGCAGACAAGTTAAGAAAAAGCAATGATATATGAAGGCTATATCCAAGTCATATCCACAAGCACCTAAAGTGTTGCTGTACAACAAACAACAAATATCTGTATACCTTTGTTGGGACAGGGCCGCCAGCTGAGCTCCAATAGCTGTCAGAGAAAGACAATGCGGTAAGCAATTGGAAACTGAACCGAGTAAGTGTTTGTAATAGGATCGATTAGTGATTTAACGTACACAATGCAGAATCAATTTCACTCTGTGATGCTACCTTCTTGGCATCGGGTTCATCTGAAAACAGAAGAAAAAGTGAATCTACAATGTAGACTAACAAATGCAGACAAGCCGCCCGTTAGTGCTGATTTTTCACCTGCTTCTTCCAGGGATCTTTTCTGTGCCGAGAATGGATAGTTCTCAGCTCCTCCGTTGTTGCTCACTGAGGAAACACCGTCTCCACCGATTTTAGCTGCAATCTAGAAAGACATGCACTGGATTAAGTGTCTACAATACACCCTGAAATTGTGAATAAAGATCATCTTATTTGAAGAAGCACTAGCTGTGATCTGGGCCTGGAGACTACAAAATCAGGACAGACAGCCTTTGTTGAAGGTATGGCATTTGAAAGACGTACACATTTAACAGGCAGGAAGTGTCTAACATGGTATTGAGATGCATTGTGGGAAGTGTAGGATCCATCCTTTTTGGGGCTTGACTTATACTATGGACTAAAAGTCTATTTTGACCTTTCGTTTTTAAATGTGTCTCACAAGTGCCTGAACTTCATGAACTTGCAAAACTAAAATTGAAACTCTTCTTCATTTTTTAAGCTACAGAAACCGTTCATCAAAATATTCAGCTCTTTCAGCTCATGGGTGCTATATCTCTTCATATTTATAATCTTTAAACTTTTTGAATTATTAAGCTTTTTGCAATTTTTTTTTTTTTTTTTTTTTTTTGAATGGGATGTCTATGGAGAATATTTTTAAATCCTCTTAAACCTTTTCAACTTTCAAATCCTTCTACTTCCTCATACTTTGAGCTACAGACACCATTTTAACTTTCGAATGTTGAGAAAATCCTGATCTATTGCAGCATAATTCAGCTTTTTGATATCTTTTACACTTTTTGAACTGTAGCAATTTAACTTTTATGTTTTTTCAGCCCTTTTCTGACTTTATAATGGGTGTGTATTGCGCAGCTTAGAGTGCGTGATGTCACCGCTAGAGTGAAGAGCAGCTTGAGATTCTTGTGAAAAAAACATTTGTCTTTTGCCACTAAGTCCACAATCTTCACTCTTCATGAATAATTTCCGGATGTAAAAGTAGCTAATCTTGTCCTTGTCGTAGACAAATGACTGTGGAATCCAACAGATTTACACATTTGGCTCAAGGAGCCGCAGAGCGACATGAACTCCAACCAACTGCTCCATTAGACTCCATGTTAAATTTGACCACTCATTTCTCAAAGAAAGCAGACGGTACCAGTTTTGTCTATTCTGCTGCAGCTCACATTTTTAACACCACAAACATAAAAAACACATTACCGCGTTCGGCAGAGTCTTATCTTTCTCATGGTATCCATATTTTGGCACTCGGACTCCTGCTTTTTGTTAAAAGGGGCTTTGTTCAAAATCACCGTTTACTGTAATGTTTCTTAATCAGTCTGCCTCTAACACCAGGTGCCTCATCACCATGGCAACCAGTTACACACACGCAGGCTCTCTCTCTGTCTCTCTCTCATACAGTCATTCAGGTCTTAGAGATTTTAAGAGGACTTTCCACCCCCCCCCCCCCCCCCCCACCCCAAAATAAAAGCCCCAGAGAGTGAACTCTACCTGAAATGCTTGTGATGAAGCCTGTCATTTAATAACCTGTTTATGTGTGTCAAACATTATGATTATGTCTCTTCTCCCCCACCCAGTCCCACCCTTTCAAAATAAAAGCCCCACAGAGTGAAATCTAACTGGAATGCTTTTGATGAAGACTCATTTAATAACCTCTGTGTTTCATACATTCTGATTCTGTCTCCTGTCCTTTCTACCCCACCCAGCCCCACTCTTTCAAAATAAAAGCCTCATGGATTAACTGTATTTAAACGTTAAGCTCAAAATTAGGAAAAACGTAATGCTCTGACTAATACTGCGACACTACTACTGCTGCTGCTAATATAGTATTACTACTACTGCTACCATCAATATTATTACTACCACCACTGCTATTACTTATACTACAACTGCTGCTGCTGCTATTGATGCTACTACAAGTAGTATTACTACTACGGCTATTAGTACAACTGCTACAAGTACTACTACTACTTCTACTGCCATTACCATTACTACAACTTCTACTACAAATATCACTACTGCTACTACTAGCACTTATTCTAATGCTACTAATAATACTTCTACTACAACTTCTACTACTACAAATATCACCACTGATAAAAAATTTTAAGCCACAGAAACCATTCGAATATCAAAATGTTGAGCTCTTTCAGTAGAGGGGTGATATGACTTTTCATAGTTGTAATCTTTAAACCTTTTGAATTATTAAGCTTTTTGCAATTTTCTTTTTTTTTTTTTTATTAAATTGGATATCTATTTTCAGCAATGTTTTTGCAATTAATTTCAGATTTCAGCATTCCAACGCATTTTCAGCAGGAAATGCATTTTCTAGTATAAGATTGTAATTTTGACAATCGAGCATTTTGCTTGCGAAATTCAAAATGTTCTACATTATGTGCCTGCTAATCGCAAATAGAGTTTATCGATGTCCCTCGACTAATCGAGTAAATAACTCGATGAATTCACGATTAATCAATAATGCGAGTAATTACTACGTGTAGCTCTAACATTGATAACTAAAGAAACCCGTAAAGTAACGTTAGCTTCACACCCTGACCGTGAAGGAAAGAGCCATTGAGTAATGTTCCCGTAATTTCAGTCACCAAATAACCTATTAAGCTAGCATCCTTTTGTCCACTTAATGCTCGTTATCAATACAACATAACGAGCCAGTCAGTTGACCTTATTTCATAACAATCATGGTGCCATGACAGCGTTGTTAATTGTTCAATTCTTCTAAAATGGCGTTTTACACATGGACGAGGCTGAAACTTCATGACCAGCTTACCGTTAACAATAATAACTAACCGTGCTAACTTAGCTTAAGTAGCTAACGTTAGTCCGTTTAACTTAACACAAATGATCCCGGTGGCGACGAGTAGTTTCATTTTGTTAGCTAACGTTTATACATGAAATCGTAACCTACGTTGCTGCCGCTGCTCAGTCCACCCCGCGAACATTTCGTCTGACTAACGTTACACAACCTGGCGAGAGGTTAAGACAAATGAATGGCTGAGCTACTAGCTAGCTAGCTAGCTAGCTAGCTAGCGTGCTAGTTACCAGCAGCTAACGTCACGGGTAATTAAGCTAGCTGCGGTTTCCCACCAGCTAACCAACGTTAGCTCACCGACTGTCTTCTTCTCTTGTAGCAGAGCAATAGATTACCTGTCTGGCTCGTTGTACTGCATCAGCAAAAGCGTCGTTTTTCATCCCAGCGCCGACTCCGTTAGTCGGCAGACCGCCGTAATCAGACATGCTGCTCACAAGGGGCAAATAGACACAGGGGGCAGGCTGGGTAGCTTTAGCCGGGTCAAGCTGCGCAGAAGCGGGAAGGCTAAACGAGAGCGCACGGAGACACCAACGTGCGTGTCGTGATTTTGCCTACCACGCCGGCAAACTTCCTTGCTTAAAATAGCCAATCAACGATTCTTTCAACCCCCGTCTTCTTCTTCCTCATTCTTTGGGTGTTGACGTCCAACGTTATAGAGCAAAAACACCGCCACCCCCTGGGCTGCAGGAGAAATGTAGACCAGACTCTGTTGAGGACAGGCCTGTAGTTTGTTAAAAAACATTTACAGTTCTTAATTGCCTACTTGCATTAAGCCATTTATTATTTAGACACAATTTTACAATGAATCATATTATTTTAACAACTGAGGTTGAGAAACCGAACTTGCAGTCCTACGAATTAAAGACATCATACATCATCTGAGTCAGTGCATTGTGTTTTTTTAATAATAGTAACACATTATATGCATCCCCGTAAGGAAAATTGGTAGCAAAGTCAACATGATTAACTTAAATAAGCTTTTTGTCCCTTATGCAAATCTACAATTATTTATATGTCTGACACTTTAGGAAATTATTTGGAAATTACAGATTTGTAAAATGAAGCTTTCCCAGAACAATCAGACCAATCATATTTGTTGGACAACCATGAGGTCAAACTGAATATGCTTTTTGCCATTGTCGTTGCATTTGTGTGTATAATTATTAAGCTGCACAGCCGACGAGTGTAACCAGTAGAAGTGTTACAGCAGCTAATAATATGACGGTCTTAGCTTCAATTGCTGGGTAGCTAAAGTTAAACGGGCTCAGCCAATTGGTAAGTATTAGTGCAGTGATTTCATTAGGCTGTCACGTCTACAGAAAGCTACCACGTCCCAACATTTCAGTTCTTCAGAGAAAAAAAGCTCAATGGCATTTGTTTAACAAAAGCAGCACCATGCATGCATTTATTTGCACATTACGTATTAAATACTGACACATCAAGAATGTTCATTGGCATTAAATCTCATTTCTTATTGTTTCATGATATAGACAAAGCGAACACTTTACCTTACTGTTGAACCTGCACATTGTGCACAGTTTCTGAAAATACAGTGTGGCACTAGACCCTGGAGTGTTTCAAACATAGGAACATTTATAAAACATGAGCATTTTGCATGAGAGGTAACTATGAATCCTCTGCGCTTCTTGATATGGCTTTGGTAGTTCCACTCCTGTGAAAAATACAGTACTCAGTAGTAATCCTCACAGGAAAGAGAAGATCGACAGCGTCTCCTCCTTTTTTCACCATCCTGTGTTTCAGTCGTCATTGGAGGTATGTTCAGACATTGTTGTTGTTTTAAAATTATTGCTGTATTGTAGTATTTGTAACATTTATTTAAGACGCTATCATTCAAAGTCAGAAGTCTGTAACTCCACCGATGTGCAGCGACTTCAGGTTCCCCTCGCGTACAGAACAGGAAGTTGAATCAGTCCTCCTATCAATCCTGTATCTTCTCTATATACCACCTAGGAGAAAAAAATAATGCTGTAGGAATGTAACATGGCCTCCTTTACCTGTTCGTTCTCAGGCAAGATCATGCAAGTCTTCATCTGTCCAAGTCAATGCAGTAGCAGGAAGCTGGTGGATTAGCTTTCACACAACTGCATGCACTGCAATTCAATATATCACACAAGTAACTCATCACAGCAGCTGCCGGTTCAGGTGAGGTCCTCCAAATGTGAGGCTTTAACGACAGGTTTTTTTGGTCGATTTTCCGTCCTATCGTCCTCACCCTGAACACTCACGATCTGTGATCACAAAACCATGTATTTATCCACAGTAAAGGGCCATGTCTTCATGCACTGCCAACAGATCTGTACGTGCTTGTAGTTGAAAGCCACCCCAAACCATCAAACCTTATTCTACGCCTTCTCTTTCCCACCCCTCCTACCCTCAATGTCCACTCCCAGGACTATCCTTGTGTATTCATAGACGACGTAGGACACGCTGACAGCAGGGACCACTTTCAGCAGGTTGGGGGAAATTCCTCGATAAAGTCCGGCCACACCCTCCTGCGTCACGATGCTGTAAAGCGAGGCCAACATGGAGGGTTTGGGGGCTCCCTTCACTGAAGCTGCGGGGAGAGAAACAGATGAGCAACATTCTGGTCTCTCACTACATGTGACTCTGATGAACTGTGGCATCTGGTGCTGATGCACAGAAGTCATGTTTGCCCTTGATTCTAATTGTACGTTTGTATAAATAAGTTAAAGGACTATCAAGGTGGTTTTGCTTCTTTTTTGTTTTAGCTCATCAACCGCAAATGTGGTTAACAATCTGGCATTTCATGTATTATGAAAGACAGAATAGATCTGGAATTACATTACTGCCAACCATTTTCTAAAGCATATCAGGCAAAGACCTTGGAAACAGTAGCTGGACAAGAAAATCTGAACTCAAGGTCCACTTACTTTTAACCACATCTCTCAAACTCTAAATACACTGCATATCAGCAAGCGAGTAGATTTTCATACCATGCTGAAATTAATACAAGCCAATGGCTCACAAGGGGGTATAAAGTCAATCTAGTAGCTTGAGGTATTCTTTGGAAATAGTCAGCAGAAAGTTACGGTATACACAATCTTTATTCATTAAGCTAAATCATTGGTCGGGTCCTTCATTTACACTCTTACAGTGTTTGGATGACAAATTAAAGGAAAAACATGTATAAATTGGCCTCGTCAATGGTCTTTGCAGTTATCAGATGTGCAGGCCCAGCTGCACATCTATGGAAAATGTTGGGCTGATAGGAGTAGGTAATGCTTGATATCGGTGACTGTAGAGAACTCAGGCCTTTCGATACGTTTAAAGTGTGGACAGTGTGTGGACAGTGTGTGGGATGAAGGAATTTCTTTTGGAATTTATTCCTCCAGCAGTGTTCAAGGGGCTTTGAGAATCTATAATCAGGAGAACTGACTTAACTAACAGACTTTACATTGTTTTTTTTCCTGTAATTTGCCACCCATCTGTATCTGTATTAGTTTGACTACAGTTATCCTGACCTTGTGCCTGCATTCGAGTGCGGATCAGTGCCAGCGGGTAACTCGCCAGCTGTCCACAGGTGCTGGAAACGGCACCACAGCCGACCAGCACCATGACCCCTGGGTCAGCTAAACCTCTGTTCCTGTTCAGCCAGGCAAACTTCAGAGTCTGTGGAATAGAGGGAGTGAGAGGAAGGAAAACACTAAGGAGATGCACTGTGACAGCAGTGGGCGTTTATGTCTCTCTGACCTCGTAGACGGCCAGGTCGATGCCGGCGTAAGGGACAATACTGAGCAGGTTGGGTACATAGCCTTTGTAGAAGGCTGCGACACCTTCTCTCTGTAGGATCTGTTTGGCACAGTCTGCTATTCCTGAGTACTGGCCTGTTTTCCTAAGTGTGAGACGGGTCTTCAGCACCTGTGTGGAGAAGAGAGGAGATGGAAAGGAAACAAGAAGGAGGAACAGAAAGAGAAAAGATGTCATTCATTTCACTCGTCGTGCGTTTCCTTGGCACTTTATGGATGTTGTCTTTTATGTGCCTATCAACCTGATATTACCTCCATTGGGTAGATGGCTGTCTGAGCTGTAGCTCCAGCCAAAGAGCCGGCAACAAACCTCTCATGAACCCTCAGATTTCTTGTCTCATTTTTGCTACGCATCACATTCTTGATCTAAAAGTTACAGAGCAAAGGAAAGAATAAATTAAACAGAATTTGAGAGAGTTGTAATCATGAACAAGTGTTAATAATCCACCTTTTCATAAGCTGTGAACTTGATAGCAGTTTCTGGGGCAATTTTGAGCACATTGATTCCATTGCCCCTCCATAATGACCGCAGTCCTCCTTCTTTCAGCATGTACTGAAAACCGTTCAGCACAGTCCCTTTAAAATCAACAAAACCATGGACCTGGAGGAACAGAGTCAGAGAGGTTCATCTCAAAGCTCTGTGCTACAAATCCAAAATGAACAGAAAACTTTCACACACGAATGATTTAAGAGACGAGATCATCCTGACTGACCTGTCGGAAGACTTTGAGGCGGTCTAAGGGAGCGGTCCCAGTCCGAGATACAGATCCAGCGAAGGCTCCAGCCATCAGCTGCCGCCACACATAGCCAGACTTCTTCTCCTCCTCAGAAAAATCATCTGGGACTGTCAGCTGCTCACCTATATCCAACATCTACTGAACCCGTGGTGTAGTGAATGAGGACCGGACATTACGATAAGAAAGGGGAGAAAGCGAGAGAGAAAGAGTTGGAACAAAAAAAGACACCACGTGTGACAACTCAAACTCTTTGTTAAGTTCAGTGTTCCACTATAGACGACAGGAAGTACTGCAAATAATGTGCGTTTGTTTCGCAAGCATGGCTTCACAGATACTTGAAGCAATCAATGCTTTAACCCAACCACGTCGTCATTTACAGAAACTCCATGCTGCTCTTGTTCAGGTGTGTGTGTGACCTCACCATTGAACGTTTCCAGTAGCGCGCTACGTCCTCCATGTTAGTGAGAGGCCTAAACAGGAAGAAGTCCCGCCACTCATTCCAGTCAATGGTCATGGTGCCGTCTTTGTCCATTCTGAGTGACCAACACATAAACAAGTAATGAAATTCATAGACAGTAGAACCCTTATGGTACCCACTGAGTTACAGCGGGTGAGATCGATGATTTAGAAATAGCAGTGAGGAATCCTGTGATGCCTCGGCAGTAAAACAATGTATGAGAAGACGCTTCTTGGCTTACCAAAATCTAACCTATCAGAGGAACTGAATCTACCAAACTAATGCTGCTTTCAAGACACTGAAGTAGGAAATGCAACACAAAGTAAATGAACAAATATTGAGCTCTAAAAATGCAGTTCAACATTCAGGCACCAGGTGCAAGAAAGTTGTGAAAACCCTGATCATAACTTTGGGAAAAACAAAACAACAGCAATAGAAAATAACTAGCATGTAGTTCAGCGGACTGGGTAATTGTGCCATTACTTCAACGGGAGGAGGGATGGATTAGACACATGCATAAGGAGGGTGGAAAGGATCATTCATCTAGCAAAGTGTCTTTTGCATTTAGAAAGAGTGAAACATTGATGGATCATTTCGGGATGCAAAGCTTCGATGTATGAGGCTTAAAAAAGAGCATTTAGCATGACTGTTCATATAAAGTGGTTTCTGGACTACTATGCAAGCCAGTTAAGCTGAAAGCACTCCATTATATTACAAACCTATATTGTCATTGCAGGCAGTAGCAAGGTAGGAAAGTTCTCGCCTCAATGTTTCAGCCCGGGTGTAAATATCGGAGGTAATGTGCATGAATTTACAGTGTTGGGAGTTGTTAACATCCAAGCCAGGTTTGTGGATGTTCTTAGACCTTAATGTGATGTACAATCAGGTATCAACTTCTGTTAGCAGACCTTTGCAGAATCCTGGTGGCATCCTTGAGGCTAATCTCCACACCAATGGTGCGTAGAGAGTGCTGGATCTCTGCTGCATCTATCTGACCTGCAAACATCCACCAGTCACAGGCAGTAAGAGAGAGAGAAGTCAGAGCATGGAAAAGATAGTTATCCAAATATGAACATTTTGAAGTAATAGTGTCATCAATTATTATTTCAGCTGTGAACTGTTGGCTGCTACAGACCGTCATTGTTCTTGTCCAGACTTCTAAACATGAGTTTGAGCTCTTTTTCATGGGTGCGAAGGTACTGGGTGAACTCTTTAAAGTCCAGTACTCCATCCTGGTTGGTGTCTCCGGCCTCCACCATCTGAAAACACAGACAAGCCAGGTCAATAAAAAAGAAATGTCTGAGCATTTGGCAGGTTGTAAAGACAAGTGCAAAAATGCTTTAAAAGAAACCCTAATATGCCAGCATTTCACTGGTCAGAGAACTTATTGTCCCTTCTTTCTTACAGGGACAAACATTTCGTTTTAATCTATCCACACCAGGATCATCATATCATGTTGTTGGATTATTGTAAACGCAATCGATTCATTCTGTACAACACTACAAGTTTGTCTAGTTTATCAGCGCAAATACAACAGAGATGACCCTGACTGCTGCAAAATACCACAAGATCAAGATTGCACTCCATGTTTGTAGTCTTCAAATACTCCGCAACCTTGCCATCTGTTGGACAAATAATGCTACATCATGCGGCGTAGTCGAGGAATGACCAATTAAAAAAAGTGTGAAACATTGAACACTTTGTGTTATTTTAATTAATTTGTCTGTTGAACTACACAACACATTCAAATGGTCCAAAAACATGCAATAGTATTGACTCTCTCATTGACCATGCAGCTCTGTATTTGCCGTTTTTGCAGAATATATTTGTTATTTAAATGGAGTGTATTGTTATTAAAAATGTTTATATGATTCAGTCCCATTCATGAAATCTTATTATAAAGTATTGAAAAAGTGGGCCCAGCTAAATATTCTGTAATGTAATCTCTGACATAGTCTAAATCCGTGGTTTCCTAACCTTATTGGTTTATGACCCCCTAATGATTAAAACAGGAGACATGCAAAATATGTGAAAAGAGAAGTGTAGGACCAAGAGAAAGGTTATCGTTCTCATCTTACAAAGTCCTGTTCCTTGTACTAAAATAGACAGCTGCCCTTTACATGCACAAGCATGTACACACACACACACTCTCACAAAAGGGAGGAGAGTCCAATAAGCCACAATGTGGCTGTGTGAAGATGTTTTTGTCCCCACAACATGAGTAATATATTCACGTTCACGAAAAAGAAACACAAACAGAAGAGAGAGAGAGAGTGATAAAGTGACAGTGAGCCTTCTTGACCACCCACACACTTTTTGTCAAAACAAAGAGTCAAAGACAGACTGACGGGAGAGAGACAGACTGTGTGTATTCACAATAAAGTTATGCTGTTGACGTCCTTGGCTTCTGCTGTTGCACAAACAGAAACGGCAAATCAGAAGGATCAAGTCGGTTCTACGTACAGAACTAGAAATGTGCATTCAGTAGATCTCCGCCAGGTCTGTCTGCAACGACCACTGCTGTATAGTAAGTACATACATACTGACAGGCGCAATAAAAAGAGTCGTGAGTGAGGAGTCAGCAGTCAATCAATGGCAGTTTCAAACAGCCGATAAAAGGTGTTTTGAGAAAGTGTGAATCACCGCAACCACGTGAGGTCCTTGAGTATGCACCCAAAATAATATGCAGTTTGGTGCAACAGTAAGCACGATCAGCCGTGGACATACACAGAGATGCACACATGCACACTCACTCACATATGCCAAACACACAACCGATGTGGAGAGGAGGGGTCATCGGCTCCTCTGATTCATATCAGAGATCCCTCTAAACAACCCCCCTCTCTCACACACACATACACAACACACACAGAGAGAGACAGACATATGTCCAACAGGTTGAACCGTGTCATTGGTTTCCACAATGGCTCTGTCATCAACTGTATTTGTTTAATGTGATATACTGCAATATCCACACCGCACATACATGCCTCTGCCGGGTATCCCAGTCAACAAACAGGTGTGTGTGATACAGGTGTCCTGCTGTCTTACCTTCTCCAGGGAGCCTCTGGAAAGCCCCCTGCCTGCCAGCCCTGTCCGCAGTTCGACGATGTCGATGTGTCCATCTTTGTTGAGGTCCAGCTGATCAAACAGCTCAGCCCAGCGCCTCTCCCTCTCCTGGTCCGGACCAGGAGATTTGCTGTCCTGGCAGTGCGCCGAAGGGAACCAGGTCCATTGGGGTCTCATAACTGGTGCCAGTCAGAGTAAACTGATGGGATACAGGGGCATCAATTCAATCACCACAGGCTGACACAGAGCAGTCCTTACATCTGCCAGAGTCTTAACCCCACAGATACTTACTTATTACAGCAAATTAATTCAAAGACTTTTCAGAAAGAAGTATGGTACGATCAATCTAATGGAAACACGTGAATACATTTACATGTAAATTGGTTTAACATTGCAATCCTTAAACATTGCCAGACTCACACTGTTTCATTAAAATTGATTAAAATGGATGAAGCAGAACCAGAGTTATGTGGGGTTTTTTTTTTTTTTTTTTTTACACCTTCTTCTTCCCTGACAAAACCTGGTGCCTACATTACCCACAATGCAACTCGACCAACAACGGTTCAGTTGGAGATTGGGGCGAGTTATGCTACTGTTGGCTAAAGTAGCCTAAAGCCTAAAAGGTCCAAGAGTAGATGAGGATAATTACCGGCCACGATTCTAATGACAATTTAATTTTTCTCGAAAAAAAAAGTTATTTTGATAAATGATAATTTCACATTTTTGGGACAACAATTATGCAATATTCAGATAAAACGAAGAATAAAGTTCCCTGGTTGACCAGACCACAGCTACTTATGCAACCGGGGCGATAAAGGGTCACAAGCAGACATAGCTTTAATTCAAAGGGTCATAAACCAAGACCACTGATCTAGACTACATTTGGCTGGTTTACACTGACAACAGTGTTAGTTTGTCCTACAACATATATAGGGCATAAAGGCAGCAGGGCGCCGCAGCCATTCGATTCAACAAACTTGATTTAAGAGGTCAGTTTGCATTACAGGTCTGGTTTGTATTATAACATAATGTCTCGGTGTCTACATTTAAGACATGAAGCTATTGCGCAGCCACTGACGTTTATTAGGAGGAGTGGCGCAATAACTGATATTTGGTGAAATGATCAAATATAATCTATAGTTCGCGCGGATTAACGCACATTGATCCCCATACAGTAGACACGAGCTATTAATTTGGTCTACTCACAAAACCTAGGATACCATTTTGTGACTCACTCACTGTCTGTTTATCTCCAAGACGCGGCCCATGGTAGGACGCAAGGGGGTCCGGAGTCAGGACCCAAAAGGAACCAGCGCGTCCGGAGCTCAGTTTACTGGGCCTGACTCCGTCCTGAAACTGGATTTGGCACCGAGCAAGCGAGCAGGTCCCTCTGGATTCAGCGGGTCCCGGGTGGGGGTGGGTGGGGGGGGGTCGGGGGTCTGTGTACACCACCACTGGTCGCTCCGTCTGGTAGATTTCACAGAGACTCTTGTTGGGGAAGCAGGAAGCGAGAGAAACATAGCCGCCTCCTCCCCGCTGGTGAAGCCTGCTGACGGCCGAGTGTCAGATGTGTGCGCGTGGAGGGTGAACACCCAGTGCAGGCTGGGACACAGTACGCGTACACAGTCAATGGTGGGCCACCGCTCATGTCTTGTGTCAGACACGTATTGTTTATTATTGATGCATACTGACAAATGACGGAGCGTAAGTCTCTAAAATTGTTATACAATCCTGCACGAATCTTTCGCACCGTAGGCTACATATTTGTTATAGTATTTGTTTTATAGTAGGTCTATTTTTTTATATTAGTAATTTTTCTATTCTAGATTTATGTTCTTGACTTGTACTTTTCCTATATCCCTGTATGTTTATTGTACAAAGTATTATATATATATATATAATACTTTTATGCAAATGTACTAAAAGAACCCCTCCAGACATTATTATAACGACCATCCTTCTGCACAGTGAAGGACCAGTAAGTAAAACACATTTCTAAAAATAAAAGAATCAATAATGAGCCATTGTACTATACAATTTCAACACACACACACACACACACAATTTGACATTATGCCTTGAAGTGACATTTATGTGACACATATATATTATATGATATAACATAATTTGCTGTGATATACAATAATTAACTGCTGAGAGTCACATAAGCGAATTACAAAATTAAGAAAAGTTACAAAAGTCAGAAGAAGGAAATAAGAAGAAAGATATTGTGGTATTATTTTATTGCAAAGGAGCTGAATTCCAATCACCTTGTTGGGTGTTTTGTCTTATTTAGCCCACATCCGTATCCTTCAACATTTAACACTCACTTCACCATCCTGCAGACCTCTGACTCTCCACAGATGAGTGATGTTGCCAGGCCACCTGCTCCCCTCTCATCACTTTATTCTCTTGTGATGAACACTCTGAAACTCAGTTTGCTTTTGTTTAGGACTGACCTTTAAGACAATTACTGAGGCCTGACCACACACATAATAGAGGTTCCCCTGCTTTAATTTTTCCATTATATGTGCTGACTTGCTTTCTATCTCCTGTTGAAAGGCCTGCATGGTCAGTAAGCACATACACCACCTCTCTCATTCTCCTCTATTCAGCTCCCGTCTCTACACCTGCTGGTCTCAGGGGAGCGGATTGACACATCAGATAGCAAACAGGTAGACTATATATAAGAGCAGCACACTGTGCTTTGGGAGGCTGACTGATAAACTCTGAATAAAGTGTCTCCTGTGATCAAACCCTGCTCAGACTGTTCATTTCAGTTTTGTAGGTTTTGTCAAACTACACACCTCAATGTGTAAAGGGCTCTCCTCCCTGCCCTCGTCATGCCTGGAGAAGTAAGAACGCAACCGGTTCATCATGTTTTCTATGTGAATACGTGATTCCCTGATTGCAGAGTTCGTGTTATGAAGCGGTATATGTGTGTTTCAGGGCAAAAGAGATGCGGGTGAAGCTAAGCCATCTGGCTGAAACGCACCACAAGCAAAGGTGAACCTACTGAAACTCTTATTTCAAATAACTATTGGATCCACTCATCTGGCAGTTGTCACAGTGAAGCTGAATTTTGACCATTTCTGTCTCTCTTCTCAGGGTTCAGGATGGAAAAGCTCTCCAGGACCTGGAAACTCTGCTCAACAGCAAAAGTAAGAACGTTATTTCCACTATTTCTTTTAATACCGCTTCCAATGTGGGTTCATTGTTTCAATAACACACAACAGGTTTGTTTTACAGAAGACATGTTGACATGTCACAGTAGGAAAAGCACAGGTTTAAATGATAAAGTGAATAAAGCGTGCTGGCTCACCGTCACAGCTCACTGGGACACCTGAACAGCACAGAGTCATCGTTAATCTCACTCGTAACACCTGTGCTTCTCTGACAAGTCAAAATGTCTGCTGTGAAAAAAAGCCCAATGCTTGTTTTCTAAATGTCTTCCACGATGCTAAAGAGGAACACTGTGTTAAGCTTGCACAGCAGGAAGTTTCATACTTACATCTCGCAGTACTTATGTCTGTACACGTCTCTGTTCATACGACACTAATCCTCAGGAACGTCATGTCGTCCTCCACAAGCTGCAATCCTTTAATGCAATAACTGACTGGATATTACTGCGGCTAATGTTTCAATAGAAACATGTGATACAAATGCCGATACTTGATTTCCCTAAAACAAATTTGAACTGACCAAAACTGTGATTCACTGTAAAAATAACTAATTGCCCATATTAAAGCAACGCTATGTGACTTTTAAAGGAAGAAATAGAATATTGTTCTTGCAAATAAAAGCTGATTTCATATACAATAAAAACAGACATGTATTGCTCAATTCAATACACTCATGCAGGGTTTGTTGCTCAGCTGTAGATGGTGTGGTATGACCAGTAGATTTGGTGGCTGATGTTAGCAAACTCAACTTAGACACTGTTGTGTAACTGATGTTACCGAGTCAGATCTCAGACTTCTCTACACACATTTACCATTATTTCCATTAAATGTCACGTGGGTGCCGATTGGCTGGTGATGCTCAAGTTAGTCCCACTTATATCAACTAATATTAAATACATAAAAACATTCAAATAACTCTTGTAAATTCTCCATGCTTTTCCTTCTTCTCACATTGGCTTGTTCTCCTCCCAGGCGGTCGGCAGGCGTTCCGTGAGTTCCTGCGTTCAGAGTTCAGTGAGGAGAACCTCGAGTTCTGGCTGGCCTGCGAGGACTACAGGGTTACTTCTTTAAACCTGCAGAAGACCAAGTCCAGCAGCATCTACAACCAGTTTATCAACCTTGACGCTCCACAGGAGGTCGGTGTAGAGGAGCGTGATGTGATGTGTGCAATCAGGATAAAGAGACGACTAGAATGAAAAGAGCTTCTTCTGACAATCCCTTTTCCACTCAGGTCAACTTGGACGCTGAGACCCGGGAGGCTCTGTTGAGTGTGACGGCCTCTCCGTGTGCCGACACGTTCAACAATGCTCAGCAGAGAATCTACAGTTTGATGGCCAAAGACTCCTTCCCGAGGTTCCTGCGCTCCCCTCAGTGCATGGAGGCCATCAAAGCTCCCTAAGCACACACTGTTCATGACCACAGACCAGCTTTAGAAATAGCTGCTGATGAATCTGTACTGCTTGTTATGATAGTATTTTAGTTTAGCAACTAGCTTGTTTTGTGATTGTTTTCCATATGGCAATGCCGTCCTTATGCATGCTGCTGTTTAAAAGTCTCACATATAAACCTCAATTATGAAGCTCACATATTGATGTAACTACATTGTACCGCCATAAGTGACATCCATGAAGGATTTAAATAAACGCCTCATAAAAGACAACTCATGTGTTACTTAATGAGCATCGGTATGTTTTCTGGGGTTTGGCATTAGAAAGGTTACCAGACCGCCGGAGCCCGCTCCTCATCTCTGGTTGACGATCGAGGCCACACGCTGCTACTAACGCAGCACCTGAATCTCTGACCAAACCTTTGCCCGTCTAGTTGCATTGTGGGCAATGTAAGTGACTAGTTCTGTGGATATGAATCCACTATCAAATGTTACCGAGTCCTACAGATTATTCACTCGTTTGTGCCTTTTTGTCACAGATATTCAGCAAAGAAGCTGCCTGGGGGAGCGCTGGGCTCTCAGTGGCTCCAAAGTCAGATAAAGCACACGTTTGTGCTCACTGATACACACGGGCTTATGTGGGAGAGCCACTTGTGATTGTCAACATAATCCACATGCAATAGCTCTCTGAGCCTTAATTTAGGTGAAGTCTATTAATCTAAAATAATAACAATTAAAATATTTACAGTAACGATCAGTGATGGTTGTAATTTATACACACACACACACACACACACACACACATCTCTCAAAGGATTCTCGACAGTGACAGGTTTAAGATTCATAGTTGTTTACTCTGATTATTCATTGTTTTCTGTACAATCATACAACAGAATGTTAAACCCGTTTTACAGAGGTACAACCCAAAGGTCATAAAATCATGGTTTCTGATGTTGGTTTCAGTCAAGATTTTTACAACAAAAAACAAGCAAACAACTCTGTGAGAGTCAATGAAGCTGTATCGTGCTCCCTATTGGAGGTTTATGTAACTCCCACGATCACGTGACACATGCCATTTCCAGAATGTAATCTATGATATCTAGATTCTATACATTTCTTTGTGAACTGAAAAGCAAATAATTAGCATTTGTGCAAGAAGTGTTGTGACTATTTCAGCTTGAAGAGCAGCCGAAACATTCAGGGATAAAAACAACAACACAGCGCTGGCATGTATTCTAAATATGAATCAGAGGAACAATCGTAGATCACTGATCCCATGAGGGGTTTAGCCCGCTCGACCTCAGGTCTGTGTATCAAGCCCTATTTGGAGCTGGTTCCTGGACGGGCTGCTTCTGGGTTGCCTTTACCTTCGGCTCCTTTACCTTCGGCTCCTTTGCGTTCGGCTCCTTTGACCACACTCAGTGGCTTGTGGAGGGATAAGCTCGCCTTGTGGGTCACGTCCTTCTCAATCTTGTTCCTGATGGCAATCTCTAGACCCTTAAGGGAGCAGCAGAGGAGATCATGTTTAATTATAGTAATCGGTCAGGCTCACTGATGTATTTACCGCTTCTTATATCAGATTGAAGGAGATGGACTGACAGAAATTGACGCCTTATATTTAAACGTGTCCTCACCTTCTTCAGCTTCTGTTGCTCAACGACTTGAGCCTTCTTAGGTGCAATGATCCTCCCTTTACAAAGGAAAACAACAATATCATTGTCAAAAATCCAAATGCCATCACCTGCAGTTGAAAAATTTAATAAAAACACACATTCACCGTCTTAAAACAGCCAGGTGCTACTGCAGTCTACTCTCACTACAATAGCCCTCTGTGGTCGATCTGGAGGTTTTTGTTGAGATTGTGGTATTGTTTGATTTTATGGCGTTGTTGTGTTACTAACATCGTATCTACCTTGACTGACATTTACAGGGTGGACAGAATAATAGGAACACCTTTCAGTGGAAACTGTTAAATAGTGTTCAACAGTACAACTAACGTAAACCGTTAAGGTTACCTGCGTCACAGCTCTTATCCCTTATCTTAGGGTTTTCGTTAAATCAGTCGGAGATTCATAGTGAATACAGTATTTTGAAGGAAGGAGCACAACAGTTTTTAAGCCATGTCCTAATATATTTTTTCAGCTGGATATTTAAAATATTCAAACACGAGTCGCTTTAGTAACGTGTTTAGCTGTTTTCATGCTGGTCACGTGTTGATGCTGTTTTGACAAAAATAGTTTTCGCGCCCTTTTGGGCAACATATTTAATCAACAGGAGAGATGTTTAGTTCGTACCTCCTTTCCTCGGTCCTTTCAGCTTGTTTTGATGGGTTTTTTTAGTGACTCCTGGCCGCTGAGTTTTAAACTTCTTGGTACCTTGAGCCATCTTTGCTAACCGGAAATACTCAAAGCTGTTCTTCTTCGTTGTTTCGAATAGTAGTCGTCTTCAGTCTGTGTTGCCTTGCCGCCACCTACAGGAGTCTCAGCGTAGGTTCATATAAGTGTGTTTGAGACAGACAGAAACAACTCGTTCATTTCACTGTGGTTTTATTCTTTTTACTTTATTGATGTGAGAGAGACATCTCTTAATTCATGACTGCACTTTACAGCATTATATTCATGTACATATATATTTTTAAAAAAAAATCCAGTTTTGAACCATTTTCACATTACAAAATTAAACCAGATAAAGTGATTATCAAGAACAATGACGACATACTTGCACTTAAAGAGGCCATCTGAACAACACTCCTTCCATGGTAACTGCAGGCCATACTAATCAGTGAGAATAATACACATACACCTGCTTTGATGAATTAAATCAAAGTGGAAAATATGTGGCAAGCAGCGCTGAATTTTGGCACCTTTGTTCGGGGAGGGCTGGGTGTGTTGAGGGTAGTTTGGTGGAACATCTTTTTAAACAGAGTACTACTGTATATTGCTGCTGCTTTTAAAGCACGGTGTAAAAAATAGCATAATGCAGAAACAATTCAGCTGCAACCCAACACTAAACATTGGCCTAAATCTAGGATACTTTGGCAAACTAAAAGCACCGCCACAAATGATTTGTCACTTTGGGTTCAAGATACAAACATTAGTGAGATGTGGAGACATTTAGTCCAGATTTTTTTTCTCTACAATCTGCTTTGCTGCAGCCTGGCACGTTAAGTGCATGTGTTCATGCATTTCAGTGTTTGAGTCCGTGTAGCAAGACGGAGAGGTAGTGTGTATGGTTGAGGAGGCCTCCCCAGTGTGGTGTACTAATGGCCTAGTTACTAGGAATCACAATGTCATGAAATTAAATTTTAAAAAAAAACACAGCCAAACAGTTATAATCATGATTTACAGACAAACAAAAATCTCATACCTCTTAAAGATTTAGAAAGAAATACCTGGCGGGTCTGACGGCCACAAAGTTGCTACATACGTCTGGAACATTGTCTAAATTTGCCCCCAAACAAGTGAATGTCTTAAACTGTACAAAAGAATGAATAATCAAATGCACAAGTGTCTTTTATGCTCGTGTGTGACCGAACAGCATCTTTGTGAGTTGAGGTTTGATGGGTGGACGGAGGACAAACTAAGAGGGGGAAGATGGAAAGCGAAGGACTAAATTAGCTTATATTACAGCAAGATATGGACAGTGATACTATGGATACAGCAACTAGTATTGACATTAAGCTTTTTTTTTTTTCTTTAGGGTATTTTCTCTGGAACTCTCAGTGGTCTTGTAGAGGAGGTGAAGCTGTGTATTTGTCACCTGTTTTAAGTAAATGACAAAGTCCACCAGGGCAGTGTGTGAGGTCAGAAGGCAGACTAATGTTCCCGGATCTCTGACCAAGCTCTCCTCCAGATATCTGTGGGCTTGACGAGATGGCGATCTGGCTACGTGATATGAACCAGGGTGAAGGAAGGACAGAGGGGCTGCACCTGTAAGGCCCTAGTCTGGCCCTGTGACATTCAGTGCAGCGAGTAGGTGTGTCCCATACAGATTGACATATTTAAGACGTTTCTAAGGAGCCTCTTAGAACAACGAATGCATTACATGATCACTGACCAGGTGACAAAATTGCAGGAACTCAGTCATACACCTTTCACAATAATAGTCTACTGGTTATGGGTAAATAGGAGGTCAATGTCAGGTTTTAAAACAGGTTGCTGCAATGTCATTTTAAACTAGAAAGTCTAGACCAGTGGTCCCCAAACTAAGGCCCGCGGGCCGGATACGGCCCGCCTCCACATTTGGCCCGGCCCCCTGAACAATACCAGAGACGCATTATGATTTTTTTTTCAGTCTGGC